CGTGGGTTTTAACATAATCGTAGAGAATTTGAAGATCATAACTCAAAAGTTTAGGTCCCTTCCATACCATCAGTCTAGACTCAGCATCTTAATTCATTTGTTTACCTACCTTCCCGAAAACCTCATGCTCTTTTGTGTCTTCATCCGGATCGTTTACCTGGCATGTCGTCTTCCTGATGAGCTTTTTAAGGATTGTTTTTAAATTTGAAGCCTCTCCTGATGTAAGAACAACCACCGGGCCTATATCCTCGGCTCGAATTTGAGTAATGAGTTGCTCGAAGAGTAGTCCGTGAGACGCAATGCCCGGCCCTGCGAGAATAAGGCCGGTGGGGATTTTGCCATGGTATCTTTCCTCATTTGCAGTAAGCAATAAATCCTGCGCAACATGTTGGATCTTACTGACTCCACAGGCGACGCCGTTTTTATGAAAACCACAACATCGTTCAGCGTCTTTGCATTTGTTTCTTGAAGAATTCCCTAACAATGTCAGTTTATGTGGACCAATTATTCAATTCAAGATCTCGCATATTCACATTAGTACGGTCTTCTTGTCCAGACCAGAGCTCCTGATATGTATCAAAGCGTAATGTCACACAACCGGGCTTCTCAGACCCGTTGAGTAGGGGAGGGAAAATCCGGTAGGGGTTGGCCGCCGCATCCTCATTTACCGTGTTTTTTGACAATCGACGTTTCTTATGAGGCCGCCTGGAGGCACCATGAGAGGTTGGCTCTTGCGAGTAAATGAAGCACGCCTGAATTATGCATTTAGCTTACGTATCCGTAGAAATTTCCTTGTTCGAGTATACCTGATGGTCGGTAAACTTGTAGTCATGGAGGTTCTGTCCGGTACCATTCAGGGCCTCCCCGTTAATCGGCATTGAGACAACACAATTTGTCTAACAGTCAGGGTCGAAGGAAACGCGTTGACCCAAAAACGGTTTCGCGCCAAAACTCGTGCATGCGGCTCTGCAAAAGTTCCCGAACACCCAATTGTAGCAACTTCGAATGCAAAATTATCGACTTCTTTTTAGGATCCTTATTATCTATGCCACCTCTGACTCTGCGAGGGCAATATGCACGTAGAAGCTCTATGTTATTCACCTGCCAGTCGGTTCTGGGATGCACCGGCCTTCAACCACGGAGGTCATTTGCGTCCCGGGCTAAAACACGCGCGAATGATGGTGAGGGAAAGAAAGCGGATCAGAAAACAATAATAAAACATTTTGCAGAGACGGGGACAGGAGACAACCGGAAGCGTCGGCGAATCGATCCTGAGAAGGATGAATTGGAGGTAAATGCAGAAGCAGAAAAGTTGAAGGCGAAAATTGGGCAGCTTGAGGGGGAATTGCGCCGCTTGCGAGAAGGACCCATAATATCTCAGCTATCTGGGGAAGACCGTGACAGACTCGAAAAAGCTATCGGGGAGAGGTTAGCAAACGTGGCTCACCAAGGGTCACCAATTGATACCGAACAGATGACCACCGAGCTAGTTTCGGGGGCTCGTAGCAAGGGAAATTCACGGGCTATCCGTATCGATTCCGGCCCTCTGCCCAGAAAAGAGCAATTATACTTGGATAAGTTTAATGGATTTTTGGGGGAAGCCGCATCCAAACCGGCTGATCCAAACACCCGGAAGGAACTATGGCGCTGGTATTCCCTTTGCAAGCAAAACCTACCTCCGTTTCTTCACTTAATTCCCCAAAAGGCATGGAATGTCCTCTATGACTCACAGAATTGGCTATCAGTGTCAAATCCTGACCGTCAGGCCCATATTAAGGCAATATTGGAGGACATGGCTGCGACCGGACATGAAATTAAAGGAGATCAGAAAATCGCGTATATCGAAGCGCTATTTCTGGAAGGGGAAAAAGAAGAGGCCATCTCGGAGTGGGAAGGAGGTATCAAAACAATTGGGGTATTGGATGAGTTCTCGGAACAGTTTTGGGGCTTGGGTGTAAAAATGTTTGCTTCGATTGGGGATCCACAGCGAGCTCAAAACACAGCACATATCCTTCTTAGCAGCCGACATGGAGGGGATGCAAGAATTTGGCTCCCTGTCATTATAGCCTGGAATAAGACGGGCGAGGAAAGTGGATTTCTCTCGGCTTGGAGTCTATACGTGCGTTTAAAAGATCGGCTGGGACCTCGAATGAGTATGGAAGACTACGACACCATAACTATGAGTTTTTTAAATGCCGGGAAAAAGGATCTTGCTCTGGCCGCGTTCAGAGATATGATGCTTGCGGGCAGTTCCTCGGAAGGCGAGGATTCCATCTCGTTCTATAAGAGATCTCTTAACCTGGTGGCAAACCTCCAATCAACCTCCCCCGACCCTTCAGAGCTTAGCAACGTGTCTCTACAAGCGTTAACGGTCTTGCCCCGGCGATTCCAGAACAAGTTTTTCTATGGCAGTTGGATGAAGAAGCTACTGGGAATGGGTGAAGTGGACTCTGCGGTCATGGTCGTGGAACTGATGTACGAACGGGGCGTGAACCCTGATGCTAGACATCTCAATGGCATCATTGGTGCCTGGCTACGAACCGGAAGGGCGGAATCAAGAAAGAAAGCTGAAGATATGGCCTGGGGTATGATCCAGGAGAGACTGGATTTCGTCCAAAAACGGCATGCATCAGGTTCTCCAACTTCCGGTGCGCCTTCGATCGGGGCTGGCGGTCACAGGGAATTACCCAATTTTTTGCGGCGGCGTGTGCCGCCTGCAACCATCGAGACGTTCTCGATCCTCGTTCAGTACTATCTTCGACGGAGCAAGTTCGACGAAGTGGAGAAACTCAGCGGACACCTCCAGATGGCCGAAATTAAGCCAAACTCATATTTCATGAATCACCTGCTATATTCATTGTTGAGGAATCACGACCGGCAAGCCGCCTGGCAGATGTACACCAACATGACACGCGAGGGTGGCGTCAAGCCTGACATCAGCACCTTCACCTGCCTGTGGGACTGTATGAAGATACATGTAGACATACTGAAAAATCGGAAGAAGGAAGGCTTTCCCCAGCCCCGAAGACTGTTTCGCGAGATGGTGACTTGGTATTCAAAATGGAGTGCCAGGGAATATGACGAGGTATCCAAGGAACTGTATGACCAGATTATACGCTGCTTCAGTCTGATAGAAGACCAAGTCGGCACGCTTGTCGCCCTTCATGCGCTCAGGGATATGTTCGGTATGCATCCAGACAAAGATACAGTTCGGATCATTGTCCTCCAGATTGCGCGATTAGGGACCCTAAATGTGCGTTCTAGACGACTAAACCTTTCCGATAGCAACACGAAAGCAAGTTTTGCGAGGGTCATGAGCGTGCTAGAGAAGCTTACGCAGCAGAGACACGAGATACTAGAGAAGGAGGGAGGTCAGCCGGACGAGAAGGATTTGAAAGTGGAGGCCGAGGAAAGCCTTTGGCTTGTCTCCGAGCTTTTACGAATAGTGATCGCCCGCGGTGGGAGGGCAGCGGAGGCAGCGGAAGATATTCGCAAAGCTGCAAGTGAAATGGGTGTTGAAGGTGGCGAAAGCGTCAGCAAGTATCTCGACTCAATTGTATAGTATTCCCGGTGGGAGCTCCATCCAACACATCTGCATGTAACGGAGTTTAGGGCTGCTTAGTTTATTTATGTATTTTGTGGCGCCTTCTACCCCACCTAAGATAGAAGAAATTATCACTTTATATTTTATATGTTGCAGTATATAGGCCGGGGAACCCTCTAAAGTACACCCTAATCATGATCTTCTTCCGTAGCGCCAGGGCAGCCGTCCATAGTATCATCTGGGTATCGGTATTTACACCAGAAGCAATAGTGGTACTTTTCTCTTAGGTAACTCACCAGTCTGCTTAGCCTCTCCGCAGGTCCTAGGGCATCAAATTCCTCCAGCTCGGGGTCTTCTTCCTCGATGTCTACTTCCAGAGCATTGTTCTTACCCAGAGCCTGCTTATCATCCTCGCTTTCAGTAGGGTCATTGTAGGTTGGTAATCGCGATAGACTCTGGTGTAGGTCATACCGCATTCGCCGCTCTCGCTCTTTTTCTTCTCGGTGGCGGACCAGTCCCCGCCAGAGAACGTTGATCTGCTTTGTCGGCCTCACTTTCCGTGACGACCCCACGCGGGACTGTGAAGTGTCATCCGCAGCTGTAGAGGGTTTGTGTTTAGCAGGTGTGAGAATAATAGGTGGGTATGTAGCAAGTGTGTGTAGTGTAAGTGCACGTGTGGTAAGTGGCTGTATAATAGGTGTGCGTGCGGGCGAGTGTGCAGCAGTAGGTGTGTTTTTGGAATCTTCGGCCTCATCTGCTTCAGTATCCAACTTCTCAGCTACTTTCTGGGCACCAAGAACTAAACCCTCGGTTCTCTTCTCCTCCCGCTCCTTCTTCACCCTATCCCGATAATTCCCTTCCTCCGCCTTAACCCTCTTCGCCTCCTGGTCTACCTGCTCCCTGAACTTCCGCTTTTTCTCACTATCAAGCCCAACTCCACCTCTATCCTCCTTAACTACGATATTCAGTGGCTCTGTTCTGCCATCTCCTTTGCCCAGTGCGCTTCCTTCTTGGAAACCCATCATCTTCATCATCTTGTAGCCTTTGTTGCTTGCATCGAGAGATTTGGAGAGCGCAGCCTCACGAGCAGCGGCTTCTTCAGCACGCAGTTCGGCCTTCGATTTAGTGCGGCCTTTAATTTCCGCCTGCAAACAGAGTTAACAGCCGCCGATAGCTTTTAAGTAAATTAAGAGAGCAACGGGTGAGACTCACCTCACGCTGTTTCCGGATGCGGCGTTGGGTGTAGGTTTCTTTCCCTCGTTTTTCCACCGGATCAGCAATGGCCATGTTCATGTAATCATCACTGTCGCCGTCCATTTCCGCGTTTTTAGTTGCTGAGGGGATTGGCTTTGAGATGGTGGAGTCACTGGGAGTAATGCTGGGTCTGTGTTGCCAACGAAAGCCGAAGAGGGCTTCGAAAGGCTACAGATATTAATTAACGGCGAGCTCAATTTACAGTCCCGTGACGCAGTGGTTAGCGTGTCGTTCTTATATGAATCTACCTAACTAGATTGGTATGAGCCTGTTAGGCATCGTGTGATGCGAACGTCGCGGGTTCGAATCCCGCCGGGACTATCCTATATTTTAGCCCTTGATCCGTTCCCCGCCCTCGAATTATGCTTTTTTCGTCTGCCTTCTAGACTCCGAGCTACCATTTTTTTTTAGGTGACGGCATATTCGTTCTTGTATGTTTATTCTAGCTGCGCTCACCATTTATTGCTCGCTTGACAGCTCGTTATTTCATTGATTGAACACCATATGCTCTGAACGCACGAACTATTTGAATTTACTAGCTTTCAGCCCGTAAGAACATCCCAAATCTACTCCAGTAGCATTACCCAGGAACCCTGCAGCTCAATAGATCTGCAGAAGCAAGTGGATGCTGGCATTAACCAATCCCTATGCCGCAGTCGAATGGCATCTCATCTGCGTCGAATGCACTGAATTCTGGTATGATGCCATTGTCACCTCGACTGGCCATAATCCCAAATAGTTGCTAATATACGATCGTGTAGCAAACTATGACCCGCTAGAGCACCTCAATGCCATATTCTCCGATCCTACAACACTCTCCTCCGTCTCCTCCATTTCGGATGCTCTCCGAAGCTATCAGGACGAGCTTGATGAGGAGATCGCAGAACTCGTCGTTGCCCAGTCAGATTCAGATGCGCAAAGCGTAAAGCAGATCAAGGATGCCAAGGCTGATCTTACTGAGTTATTTCAGAAGATCGAGAATGTGCGAGAAAGAGCAACGCAGACGGAGCAGGCAATTTCAGAGATGACGGCTGATATCAAACGCCTGGACCGAACAAAACGAAACTTAACACTCTCGATGACGGCACTAAAACGACTGCAGATGTTGACAACCGCATATGAACAGTTGAAAGGGCTCAGCAAATCACGACAATATCGAGAATGTGGACAGTTGCTCCAAGCTGTCATTCAGCTGATGGCACACTTTAAGTCTTACAGATCTATAGACCAGATTGCCACCCTTAGCCGGAATGTTGCCGATCTTCAAAGGGAGCTTTTAGAGCAAGTCTGTGAAGACTTTGAGATAACGTTTGCAAAAGGGGAAGTGGCACAACATAGAAGTACATTGGCTGAATCTTGTCTGGTCATGGATGCGCTTGGTGATAACGCCAGATCGAGATTGATCACTTGGTATTGCAATACTCAACTTAGGGAGTACCGTCAAGTGTTTCGAGGAAATGATGAGGTACTATAATTAACCTGCAAGTTTCACCCATGAGCTTACAAAACTTAGGCAGGTTCGTTGGACAACATTTCGAGGCGATATTCCTGGTTCAAGCGGATGCTGAAAACATACGACGAAGAACACGCGACTATCTTCCCGTCTGCCTGGAGAGTCAATGAAATGCTGGCGAATGCATTCTGCGAAGGAACGCGGGATGATTTTAGAGGGATATTAACCCGTTCAATGCGCAGAACCGATGGACAGACTCTAGACGTGAACCTCTTACTTTCCTGCCTACAGGAAACGTTAGACTTTGAGCAGAGCCTAGAGCGACGGTTTGCCAATGATGTATGTCTTCTCGAATCCATGGCCGTGGATATTATTACTGACGAAGCAGGCTCGTATGTCAATCGACACATTGAGTTCGAGAGACGAAAAGCCGAATATATTTGGCAAGGCGATATCTGAGGCCTTTGAACCGTACCTTAGCCTATGGGTGGAATCGCAAGCCAAGTATGTTTCTATCTGTTAGTTTCCGCGAAATGGCAAATTAACCATTCCAGGCAACTGGCCGATATGATTCCAAAATACCGACAGCAGCCACTAAGACCGCCTGACGAGGATTTCTCCCCCCAGTCTGTTATAGCTTCATCAACTGAGCTATTTCACTTCTACCGATTGACCCTACAGCAATGTGCCAAGTTGTCAACCGGGACCAGACTGGTTGAGTTGTCCAGGACGTTCGCCAAGTATCTGGATGAATATGCGGAACAAGTACTGCTTCATTTCTTACGGGATCGGCCTGGGGCCCAACCGCCCCCCTTACAGGACGTGATCTCTGTTATGAATACAGCCGACTACTGCCATAGTACTTGTGCACAGCTGGAGGAAAAAATCAAAGGGCGCGTTGACGAAGAGTTGAAAGGGAAGATTGACCTCCAAAGCCAAGAAGATGCGTTTATGGGTGTGGCAAGTGCAGCGGTGAGAGCATTAGTACGAATGGTTGAGATAGACTGTGAATCCAGCTGGCGAGAAATGAGGAACACACAGTGGAGTAGGCTAGAGAGCGTTGGCGACCAAAGCTCATATGTCGCGGAACTGCTCAAACATGTAAAAGGCCGGTCTGCAGAGGCTTTAGGTTTAATCACCAAACAGCAATATGCCAGAGCATTCTGCGACAACCTGGTGGAGCACTTCGCAAATGCGTATCTCGCGAACACTGTACAGTGCAAGCCAATTTCGGAGGTGGGCGCTGAGCAGGTGAGCAGTGGAGTTCCAAATTTCGGACACCGTTTACTTATCTTCAACAGATGCTTTTGGACCTGTACGTCCTGAAGCTAGGCTTTGAGGAATTGCTGACCCCCAACGCTGATCCTGGGACCCCCGCTCCTGCCGGGTGAGCGATATCTTTTTGTTTCTAAGAGAGTTTTCCCAACTAACCCTTTGCAGGTACATAAAACGAGTAAACCAAAGCATGACCAAGCTCGATCCTCTCTTGAAAACACTCCAAGTCCGCTCAAGCCCTCCAGAAGGCCTCGTACAAGCGTATTTGATCCATATCAGCGACCGATCCGACACCAATTTCAAAAAGATCCTAGATCTCAAGGGCGTGCGTAGACAAGACCAACCCCACCTTGTCGAACTCTTCCAGGCACACCGCGCCTCCCAGGAAAACCTCGCGCAAAATTCCCCCCTCCTAACGCCGCTACAGGTCCAATCCTCCCACATCGGGCCAAGCATAGGATCCCTAGGCCACGGGTCAACCCCCTCTCTCCAAGGTCGCTTTGATCCCTCGACCCTAGGATCGGCCATCATGTCCGCAGCAAGAGATGGCGTAGACCGACTTGGCACCCCGACACTAGCATCCTCTAACGCCCCCTCGGGCACAGAATCCCCCTCGCAGGTTAGCGAGACCACCACCACCTCGACGAACCTTAATGAGAACCTGAGGAATATCGGAAAGTTCTTTAGGCGGGATATGGGGAGTTTTGGTGGAAGGTTTGGAGGGAGCAAGGCCAGTGAGGATCCCGGGCGATAACTACATAGCATGTTTTGTGTGCTCCAATGGACATCTCAAGTACGTGCATGTTTCGGCCGCTGCAATTGTATTTACCATACATACATAGTCTTTTAGTGTCTGTCTTGTGCCAAGGCGCTAAAACTACTACGTATGCGATCACGCCCAAAATATGAAGGAGCAGTGCGCGTCATTTTCCTGAATATTATTATATATATATATATGGATGGAGCTGGTTACTGTAGCTTGCTTACTTACCTGGCCGCCTGCTCGCCTGCACATGTCGACGCCCTCCGACTTTTTTGGCGATAGATGATGGTAATAAATAAGTAATAAACAAATAGGAGATGGAACGAAGAAGGCAAGGCAAAATATTCTTTTCTTGCCAGATAGATGGATAGATAGGATCTAGGGGAATCTACCATATCATACATTCTCTCCCTCCCCTTATTAAGATCCTCCTTCCGAAGATCCCCTCCGCGTTTTGCATATATATTATATATGTAAGTAACCCCACCATCTCTCTACGTGATCCACCCCCTTGTTTTTTTAAGACCGCCGGGCAGGTCTAGTTTAGTCCAACCCCACTTGCCCCCCAACAGCAGCAACAGAGCTACAAACGAGCAAAAGGCAGACTAGACGGTTGATTATTCTTTGATTGGTAAGGTTCTAAACTGTCATGACTTCTTGCCCGGACCCTTTGGGGGCTCCCTCATCGGCTTAACATTCACAGGTACCGGGCTCCCCGGCCCCGCGCTCTCACTGTCACCCCCAATTAAAATGCCGTTGCTGGCCTTGCTGTCACCGGTGATGCTGGTAGGCACCAGGTTCTTATCATAACTGCGGGGATCCACACCTAGGATGCCGCCAATGTTGTTCCTATCCCCTGGGACAGAGAACTCGCGATAGGCATAGCGCCAATCATTCAAAAACCCGCGGATGGCCTTTCCAACTTTATCCTTGCCGTTTTTCGAGTGATGGCCTGTGCCCGTAATAGCGTAGACAGGGCGAGTAGAAGCTTGCTGCTCGAGGAGGACACGCTCAAGATACTCAACTGCTTCTTCAGGATGGAGACCTTTAACAACACTATTAGTAAAAACTAGGTCAACAGCCCACTGAGGGATATTGAACAGGATATGTACCATGGAGATCAACATATAACTCTCCGCTATTAGGATCCTTGTTTCGCTCCTCATAGAGCTCCCTGGCTGCCTCACGGTGAGCCTTCCGCATAAGGTCATTCTCGCTCTGGCCCCTGAGGCTCAGGGCCTTCGCGGCTCTTGCGTCATTACGATTCCAGGCTTGAGCTGCACTATCCGCACCACCCATGTTAGCAGAACTTTAGAGGCTTCCGAGGGCGGCTTGCCTTTGCAGAAATTTATTTCTCAAACCCCCGTGCTTAATTGCTTCAGCACGGGCTTTGATATAAAGTTTGTTTACTCTGTCTCCAGTCTCAAGCCATGGGACGTGCTGAGGTGCCGGAATTGCTTGGGATGCGGTGTTATTCTCGGCGCGATTGCCACCGATACTGGTCTTTCCAGTCTTCTGGTTTTTACGAAGATTCTGGCCAGGGCTCGGAGAAGGAGTCATTCGCACAATGTCGGCGAGAGAACTTGGGTTGCCTTCCTTCCCATCTTTGTGTCCGTGCCCGTGTCCACCGCGCTTGCCGTGGTGCTTCTTTCCACCTTTACCGCTTGCCGACCCTAGAGAAGGAAATGCATCTGTGTCATCCACAGGAGGGACCGAAGGGGTGGGGGGTCGAGACTGGTGTCGGCTGGCTGGGCGAGAATGAGAACGGTATGATGAAGAATCTCCTGCAAAATTTTGAAGACCTTTGTAGCTTGCAGATGGAGCCACAAG